TCCCGAAACCAGACATCAGTCCCGTGGCATAGCCTCGTTGTGATACCAGTCGGATCCGCGTGGCCTCCAGAGGACACAGCAGAACGTCGGCAAACAGCTCGGCCGTGGCACTGGCGCCCAGATAGATGGCCATGCGGCTGGTGACGGCCTTTTCAGGGCCGCCCACCAGGGAAATATACTGCTTTTTGAAGTATTCGTAGCCCGCGAATTTTGCACCGCCCTGCACCAGGTAGCCCACGGCGGTCGGACCAAAGCCAGTCAACAAGGCCCCGGTGCCTTCCTTTGCGACGATTGAACGTGCAGCTTGAACCATGCCGAGACCCTTCATCGCATCATCGACCTGGATTCGCGTCTTGACGACATCAATTGGCGTAGCACCCTGTACAAATGAAGCATGAGCATCGATGTATCATCATCGCCGCCGAGATACAGGTCGTGGCGCGGAGAATTGGGAGGAGAAGAAGCGCACCGCATGTGTTGATGTGGCAGCAAGAGCGCCCGCCGCGAAGAACTTGACATAGTCGCCAATAGCGAAGCCTGGCAGGTCATTGTTTTTCGACGCCATCGCGAGCCGTGTTTAGCAGTAAATTCTTAGCCCAAGCAGAGTAAGTCGTCTATTAGCATGAAGGGGGAGAGAGAAGCTTGGCTTGTTCTTGGAGCAGAAGAGCGCGCGGTTTTCTCGACAGCCACCCAAGGCAGGTCACTGTCGCTCTCGTATCCGGGCCCTTGACTTGAATGACGTAGGTTTCGTTTCCGTCCCTGCCGAAATGCTTGCTTCGCGCAATTCACCTCGGCACGGCGTGGACCCCACTTACCCACACTGACAGGTTGTTCGGGCCGGCCGATTCACTACGAAGCTTTCTTCATCTTGTTCCTGCTTTTCATTAAGAGCTTCTAGGCAATAGCTGGCCTCTGCGAGAGTTTGTAGTGAACGTGACGCATGACAGACGGGATACATAGTAGATGTTAGTAGGATTATTAAGAACAATCGGACACTTTGGCCGAGTGGTTAAGGCGATGCCCTGCTAAGGCATTACATTCGTGTGCGCAGGTTCGAATCCTGCAGGTGTCGATCTTTTTGCCTCATGTCCTTGCTGTGACGATCACAGATTCCCAACAACAGCAGTCGTGACTCGTCCCTTTTGAAGTTTTGTTCCTTTCTCAGGATATTCATCAGACCTATAGTCAACGTTCCAAGGTTCCACCTTGACATTTTTGCCTGGCCTCGAACTTCGAGGCACCTTGAGCCAAGAATATGAAGCCAACAGTTTCTGCTATCTATTGACCGTCACTGATGTTACAAGATTCACCAGCTCGCCGACAAGACTGGCCTGAGACACAATACGCCCATCATTCATGACCGCAGTAGCACTTAAAACGTCGACTTCGTTGTCATCACCATCACAGATCAATGCGTAAATTAAGATGGCTGTCCGGGGGGAAAAGGAGCACAAGACAAGATCAGTGACGGTCAATAGATACAAGAAACAGTTGGCTTCATTTTATTGACTCATTGTGCGTCAAAGTTCAAAGCAAAAATACAAGGTGGAACCTTGGAACGTTGACTAGGTAGGTCTGATGAATATCTTAAGAAAGAAATAAAAGGGACGACTCCTGCCATTGTTCGGAAGTTGTGAACGTCACAGCAAGGACATGAGGCAAAAAGATCGACACCTGCAGGATTCGAACCTGCGCACACGAATGTAATGCCTTAGCAGGGCATCGCCTTAACCACTCGGCCAAAGTGTCTGACTTGCCAAATCTTCCGCTCTGTCGCAATATGTACTTGGCTCTAAAAATCTCAATTTGTCCAAAGATTCACAATTCAAAGGAGGGATAACACATTCAGACTCTCGTTGGCTATCAAACAAGACCTGGGATGGAATTTACAGTTGATTGGGCTGCTCCTTTAAGACGTACGGAGTAGATGAGCAAAAATGAAATGACCGACCTCTGAGGGAAAGTTGAGCAGTGGCTACCGTGTCCATACAAAGCAAGGTATCTATTCTCGTTGCAGCTCGCTGAAGACGAAGCGGATGCAGTGTGAGTTTGTAACTGTTGTAGCTACCTGAACATAACTTTCTCGGTACATAATAGGTTTCAGGCAAACCGCATTGTCATGCCGAGTTGCCAATAGAATTTGCGCCGTCCTCACACGAGTCCAAAGGAGCTCTTCTAGAGACAATCATCCACTATCGACTCAACTCTTCTACGTCTGTTTCAATAGAACAGTACATAGTTACTTCGCTCCTGTATATAAAACCGTCGAAGGTCGGAAAATTCACTGGATGTCTTTGCAATGAACGGCCGATGCCGTGTGTTGCAAGTTGCAACAGCTCATGAACTGTCCGCCAAATTTCGGCACCTAGGGTAGCTCTTCAGTTTGAGCATCTCTTTCACCCCCCCAAGTGGTTATGTAGTAGTGAAATATACAGCCATCCTCACAAGATACATTCGCCTACGACGCGTGCAGGTAGATACATAGACACTAGAGTCGTAGGCATGGTAATCTTGTGGCGGACTGGCGGTAGCTGAGCGCCCGTAGGCTCAAAGATGAAATTGAATGTTGACATTATGATATTATCATAGCCCAATTATAGACTCGAAGACTACCCAGGGGCCAGGAACCGCGTTTTCCATGGAAGCTCACAGGGAAGAGCCGTGTTGCCTTGTTTTAACAACTATCTACCGACTATCTCTGCTACGATATAGTCTGCTGCCGCCGCCGGCCCAACTGTATTGCCGCCCCGGCACAGAAACTCTAAAGCTATCATCGGCATCGACGGGTGTGCTTAACAACAATTACAGCGCCACTGCGGCCGTCTTGACCTGCTACGCCCACGTGGCAGTAATTTCCAAATCACGCGCAACAGCAGCAGCTACTAATGGTTTTGGAAACTATGCAACAGCGCCTACTGGAGCTATTGAGGCCCTGGAAAAGCCTGGAAAAGCCGGTAAACGGCGCTGCTGGGGCGACCTGTCGCAGTGGTCAGCGATGACCCTTGCGAAGAAGCAGAGCAGTTGTCTCTGATGACTGATGCTCGCGCTTCCATCGAGCTTGCAAACAAGCGGTATTGAGAAAAGATAAGAAGGAGCAGGACTTAGTTAGTACACTTACCCAAGGGCTAGCTGCTGCTGTTGCGCTGGCAATTACTGCAACGTGGGCATAGCAGGTAAGAAAGGCCGTTGTTGTCGACACCGTAACGGCTGACGGCGTGACTCGAACATAAAGTTGTTCCTGCGGTACGTCCTTGTTCATGTGCCAGATACACAGGAGAATCCTGGCGGCCGCGTTCAGGACGTTGATGAAAGCCCCGTCGTTGTCGGTAGTCCAGAATTTGACATGAATGCCCTTGGAATCAGATAGGGCCTCAAGCTGGTTGAGAACCCGGGAGAAAGACGCCTCATCCCTGTGTGTTCGATGAGCATGAAACCAGATGTGTCGTGCGAGGGAAATGGATTATGAGTCCACGACGCGCATATGTATGTGCATGTACACAGGCTGTTGTCTCCATTTGGGCCAACCAATTTTAACAACGGCAATGTATCTTTCGGTTTCGAATGTGCAATCAACGATGACCACATCGGGAGACGATTGGATCAGTTCGAGGCATTTTGGGTGCATGATAGCGAGATGAGTCATGTAGTTTTCGGAGTTGACCGCCCACCTAAACCAAGATAATCAGCGATTTGAGCTCCTGCGCAAGCTCCACAAAGTATGGGCGTCCGCATTGCTGTACAGCGTCAACTGTCCGTTCCTCCACATACCTATACCAATAATTATTCGCATCCATCCTCTCGTACAACGCCGCAACATTCGTTCACGTACTCTACTTGCGCTGCTGCCAAAGTCTATACTCGTTTATGATATCCTGGCGGTTGAGCAATGCGTCTGGAAACTTTTCTTGTACCAATATCAGCGCCTGTTTCGCACCCCGCGCGAGCGGCCAAATAGCTTGTAGGTGCAGCCTCATTTCGTCAGTACGCGTCGCCCGCCTGTGGGACGCGATACTTTTCGCGCTGCGAGCCGGAGGATGATTGTGACAGATGCTGGCCCTTTTCTCGCACCATTTGACCCTCCACTGGCCGTCCAGCTGCGTGTAGTCATTCGCCACGAGCCAGAATTGCATCTTGCAGTCAGTCCTCTGCGAGGTAGCGCCTGGCCGTTTCCGCGGGACACTCGAAGCGCCAGCCTCGCGGGGTTTGCCACGGCGATGGCAGGTCATGAGAAGCCTATAGCGGCCGCCTTTGGCCCAGTTATGCCTATTGTAAGACACCCCGTGATCCTTTGCCCACGCAGTAACGCCAGCGAGGGCGTCGTCGAAGCTGTCATATAGCACTTCTGGCGGCGGTGGATGATCGCGTACGCGTCGGTCTGGCTCATGGAGGTCTGTAAGGTCGTAATCCACGCCCTCGACCAACTTGCGGAGCTCGCCGTGGTTGCGGCGACGCGGTATGTACTCTGGTACGCGTGGCCGGCGGCGGCGGGGACGAGGTGCGCTTTCGGGCTCATCTTCAGCGCCCGGAACGCTGTTGAGATCGCCATCAAGATCACTGTCGAGATCGCCATCGAGATCACTGTCGAAATCACTTTCGTTGGACTCCTGTTGCAGTAGGCGACTGACAGAGTTATCGAAATCTGCATCCTCTGACGAAGGCCGAAAGACAGGCTGCGCTGGGCTGTGTGACGCGTCAAGCTGAGCGCTCGTCTGTGTCCCGCGCGAAAATCGCTGCGATGATGAGGTAGATGGAGCGCTCATTTTCAAGTCGAGAAATCGAGAAAAAAAGAGGACGTTGGTATTGTAGCTTCAAAAGCCAGGTCGCAAAGCTGATGATCGACAGATGATGGTAAGATGTCTTTGGTGCCGAAGTCTATGTTTTGTCTTTCGATCACGAATGTAGTGGAGAACTCGTGTGCCACTCATCGTAGACTTGATATAAGTCAATAACGAAGGTCTAAACAACAACCCAGTACACACCGGTCGAGATATTCTCATCCGGCCCGGTTAGCTCAATCGGTAGAGCGTGAGACTCTTATGTGTACATGAAATCTCAAGGTTGCGGGTTCGACCCCCGCATCGGGCTATTCCTATAAATCACCGGTTTGAGATGTACACGGGCTATCTTTTTTTATCCATCTTTTTTCTTGGACCTTGATACATTTTTTTGGCGTTTCCACTCGACTGGGCGTTGTTCACTTTTTTGTTGGTCACATTTGCTGCTCTTCCTTTTTGCCCATCTCCATCGCCATCCTCACCTTCTACATATTGCCTGGCCGTCGTACTAGCCGTCCTGGGCGATATTGACATCCGCCACTTCTGGCAAGTATGTGGGTATGTACTCGCAATTGGCAAAATCTCGCCGGTTCGGATGGTTCATCCATTGGCAGATTCATTACTACATCTCCTTCATCGATCGGGTCACGGGTGTAGTACCTAGTAGTCAAGACTCAACGCAGATGGTACGAAGAGGAGGAACCGTCCGTCATTATATGACGGTCTCTCACAACAACTTCACATAACATCTCACCCACAATGGCGCCCAGCGTCGCACGCACGGTCAGATTTGAGACCGGAATCCTCATCTGCAACGCTGCCCCCTCCCGATTGAATCAACACGGCCTGCAGGAAGATGGCCCCTCTTCCGCTATGGCGATCCTGTCACACATAGTTCACCTGCCGACCGGCCACCTCAAAAGTCTTTTACGGCCTGACCCCGAGCCTATATACGTAGATTGTATCTTTCTCGACATGCCTTTTTCTGACAATGGTTTTTGTTTGATGTGACCTCTTTTTGAGCGCCTGTTTTAAAAGCAGACAAGATCGGCATGCATACACCCATCCACTTGCCTCATTCGTCGCATCATGGACCCTTCCAATCCTGAGGACTGGCTCAGTGACAACGTTTCCGAGAATAGCATCCCGGCCCCGGATGTCGAGGCTGTTATTCCGTCACCGCAGGAGACTCAGAGTCCCGGCGTGTCGTCAGTCTATGTGACGCTTCATCGGTATGTCTTGCGTTTTTGCGAACAAGTTTGCCCTTTTTATTTTTTTAACTTTCGCCGTTCGTGGTTTTCTGCTGGAGAGTGTTGGGCTAATGGATGGAGACAGCGTGCGACGCCTGGTTCTGGCGAGTATTGGTATGCGTACATTTTGAACACCACTGCCTCTGAGTTGTGGGAGTGCGCGGCGGAGGGACAGGGACGGCAATTTTTTCTCCAGCGTTGCTTGTCTTGAGTAGTCCCATCTGGCCCTGAAGCATTCAAATATCATCTGTCTTGCTCGACTCGTCTGGTCCTGATGTAGAGAATCTAACACCTGCTTGTGCTTGCTCCGTCTCATAGATGATCCGTACACGCTGGAACATTTTCGCCAACCGAGCTTAAACGCCCTTGTCGTGAGGCCGCTCGTAGATCGCTTATACGAGACGAGGGATATATCCATCAGTGAGTCTGCACCCTCTTCTCGCATGCCAATGTCCTCTACATTTACACCGTGGCTGCTAAACATTCCCCAGTCTACTGCCTCCTCGCGAACCGCGTCTTCTTCCTCAGGGAACAGTCCGGCCTCTCGGCACAGAGCGTTAACCGAGCGCGCGGCATCCTCTGCGAACTGGTCGCTACGCGTGTCCTGCGGCGCTTCCACGAGGACAACCCAGGCGACGCGGGTCTGCTGCTTCTGGCGCAGATCCTGGTCGAGGGCTTCGACCCCTTCGAGGGGGCGCCGTACGATGTCGAGCGCGACGGCCGCTATGCACAGTGGCCGGTACAGCAGCGCGGGGGCCACGAGAGGAAGCTCACGGCGCTGGAGCTGGCGATCTTGTCCGAGAGCAAGGCCTTCATCAGCTGCGCGGCGTGCCAGCGGCTGGTCGAGGCGGTGCATTGCGGGCAGATTGTATACACGCCACTATCGTTTCTCGATATCCTACCGGATCACTACAAGCATCGACCCATCCGGCTGTACGATCCGCGCCACTCGCGCCTGCTTAACCACCAGCGGCTGATTGTGCCGCGCATCAGAGCCCTCATCGAAATGGTGCAATTCATTGTGCTGGCGCTGCTGTACGTCATGACAATGGTGACGCAGAACCAGTCGGAGCATCACCGCTGGGAAGCCGCGTTTGCTATCTACACGGCTGGTTGGGTCCTCCAGGAGTTTGCGTCGGTCACGGAGCACGGCTGGGAACTGCACTCGCAGATGCTGTGGTCCTTTCTCGACGTGACTCTGGTCGTCATCTACGCGGCCTATGTGCTCGTACGCATCTACGACGTGCTCGCGGGCACGATTCCCCACGGCCACGGACTCAGCGTTCTGTGTCTCGCCGCACCAGTCCTGCTCACCCGGATAGCGTTCAACGTGATGCCCCAGAATATCGTCTTCATCGCGCTGCACGCCATGGTGAGGGATTTCACGGTGCTCAGCTTCCTCGCCATCTGGTGCTTCGTCGGCTTCCTGCTCGCGCTCATGTGGCTACTGGACACGGAGAAAGTAGCAGCCGCCCCGGGACCTTCCTGGCAGACGGTCGGCAAATGGCTTCTATGGATCTGGTTCGGCCTCGACGGCACGGGCATTGCCGAATCTGTGCGCTTCAACGTGGTGCTGGGTCCGGGCCTCATGATTGCTTTTGCCTTTCTTGGTAACACGCTCTTCCTGACTATCCTCGTCGCCATCCTGACCAACACGTTCTCCAAGATTGTCGCCAACGAAGCCGCTGAGATTCGATTCCGCCGGACGGTTCTCACGTTTGAGGGCGTCAAGTCGGACTCTCTTTTTGCGTACCCGCCTCCCTTCAACATTGCCGCTTTGCTCGTCATCCTGCCGCTCAAGATGCTCGTCTCGCCGCGCTTCTTCCACACCATCAACGTGGCCATGATTCGTCTTCTCAACGGGCCGTTGCTCATCGCCATTAGCATGGTCGAGAGACATGGGCTGTGGAAAGCGGCTGCGTCGAACAAGAACGGCAGCGGCAGTGGCGGTCGTCGTGGCGGTCGAGGCCTCTTTGGCTGGCGCTTCACGGGCTTTTCTCCCCATGGCGATATCCATGCCGTCTTTACCGCCGGGCTGCCGGACTATGTATCCCGGAAGATTGACCTGCTGGACCCCGTCGAGGATGTGCCTGTTCTGGAGGATGATGTCATGTCCACGCTGTCGGGCGACGTGCCGAGGTCGAGACTGCGAAGGCCCAAGTTGTGGAGGGGTAGAAGAGAGTATCCGCGGGCGCGGCCACTTGCGAGACGGCCGTCGCCTACACAGGGGAGTGATGATTTCTTGTTGCGAGGTGTACAGTGAGAGAAAGGTGAGAGCGGGGGGACTGGCGTGACTCAGGGAAGGCTACAATCTTTTTTCTTTGAAGAACAATGAAATAGAACAAGCTACGGAGCACGTACATACAATGAAACTCATAGAAGAAAAAGAAAAAGAAAACTTGGGCCTTGTTCGCCATTTAGACGTGCCAAAAAGCAAAGAGAGCCGCCTCGTGAGTCGTCCATGTTACATATGTTACATACAGTACATACCTCCTCCTACGTCTGACTCACCGCCCCGCTGTCTGCATACGCGCCGCAGATCCCAGGCCAACCAAGTCCGACCCAAATGAAAGCGCGTAACGGCCATTCTCAAGTACATATGTAACGGCCAAATCTCACTCACCCCAAAATCCCGCTTCTATTCCCTCTTCCGTCATCATATCATCACATCACCATCAACTCGTCCATCCCATTTCAAGCCACTTTATCTTATCTCATCTCATCTCATCTTATCAGATCACTCGACTCATCCATCTCCAGTGTCCACAATGACCGTCTTCAGGCCCGCCCTCGTCATCGTCGACTTCCAACTTGACTTTTGCCCTCCCGTGCGTACGGTCCTCAATCTTCCTTCCTCTCCTCTCCTCTCCTCTCCTCTCCCCTCCTCTCCTCTCCTCTCCTCTCCGACCCTCATTCTTAAATTCTGATCCAATACAATACATATCAAAGGCTAACATCTTCTCCCAGAACGGCTCCACCCCCGTCCCCCAAGGCCGCTCCATCGCTCCCCAGCTAAACACCCTCCTCTCCCTCCCCTTCACCCTCAGAGTCGCCACCCGCGACATTCACCCCCCCAACCACATCTCCTTCGCAGCCAACCACCCCTTCCCCGCCAAACCCTACGTATCCACCACCGAAATCTTTCACCCTACCGACCCGTCCAGGTCCTACGTCACAAAGCTCTGGCCCGTACACTGCGTGGAGAGTACCCCGGGCGCACAAATCGTTCCCGAGCTGGACTTGAGCAAAGTGGATTTTATGCTGGATAAGGGCGAAGATGCACGGGTGGAGATGTACTCTGCGTTCTATGACCCCTTTCGGTTAGTCGATACTGGATTGCTCGGTAAATTGAAGTCGGTCGGCGTGACGGATGTGTTTATCGGGGGGTTGGCGGCGGATTTTTGCGTGAAGGCGACGGCGGAGCATGCTGTGGAGGAGGGGTTCCGGACGTATCTCGTGGAGGAGGCTACGAGGCCGGTCTTTATGGATAGGTGGGATGAGTGTAAGGATAAGTTGAGGAGGAAGGGCGTGGAGATTGTTTCGTTGGATGGGCCAGAGGTGGCGCGGGTGAAGGCTTTGGCCTGAGAGGAGAGGAGAGGAGAGGATCAGACAAGCCGGGGAGAGAGAGAGAGGGGGGAGAGAGAATTGAGTCACGGGATGATATTCAGCGCTCGAGACGGGAATGGGAATGGATATGAGCTATGGGATTGTGCCGATGAAGAAGGCCTTGGGGTCTACAAACAAGACCACGAGCTATGCCAGTATTGGTATCTACAAACAAGACCACGAGCTATGCCAGTATGAACAGGTCTTGGTAGCCTACGCAGAGGATCACATTAGTTGGGAAGGCAGATTGCAGGGAAGAAACTTGACACCCGAGAACAAGAATGGAGCAACATGACAGAAAGACATGCCGATGGCGGTTGAGGAGACCAAGGATACTGCCATTCAGTCTTGGACCTTGAAAAGGGTGTATATCGTCTATGCAAATACCTAGTAATCACTTGCTAGTTGATGCTCTCACTCCCCGCGCAGCATAATTATGAAACTCCCTTAAAGA